TCACCTCAGTCATGCCCAGATAGGTCGCCCTGTGCCCACACGTAAAACGATCGATGGGCCTGGAAACAGGAGTGGAACTTTAACTGACTGGCTTGGGTTTCTGCTGGAGGTGTAAATAACTACAACTTTGGAGGCGAGACAGTTGCGTTCAACGGCCGATCTCATATGTCGTTCCACCAATTAACTAATCCAACCCAGCAAAACTGGTTTTGTGGTTGACCAGATTCCTCCGCGGTACTATTCTCTTCCTCTTTGTGGACCCAGGGGTGCTTCGGTTGATCGCAGGCAGTGATGATTTTTGGAGTCAAAGGCTTGTTGAAGCCTGCTCCCCCAACAGGATCCACCATCTTGCATGTTACTAATGATGAACTAAATGAATGCGCTGGGGAAAACTCGGTGGTTAAGGAACGAACTTTCTGACCGGAAGATTAGTGATTCGAACCCAACCCCGGCTACTTCCGTTTAAGCTTGAGCACCGTGCCAGTTTCTCAGCTGTCCTGCTTCCGTCGGGTAGCATGGCAGCTAGGTACCCAAAGGGTTGTACAGTGCAAACATTTTGGTTCACTTGAGTCGTCTACTCCAGGGGGTGTCATGTTGAGGGGTTGCTTATAACGGGCAAGAGAAAACATCAAGCTGTAACACAGAGTTACCGTGCACCTCGAAGACCGACTACTTGAAGAGACTACTGCAGCTGTATAGCCAATACTTCCATTTTTAGACTTTCGTGGTGGAAAGGGTGTAGTTGATCTTGAGGGGCGTTCACTTTGGCATGAGTCACTTAGGGGGTTTCCACTATAATCTGTTAGTTGCTAAAGTGCGCTCACTGCTTGATCAGACCTGTCTATCCTCTAACTATGAGCCGTTATGTCCTGAAGTTCGGAGTGTTTCCTTTCGGTTTCGCTTCTGTTGGCTCACTCTTACCATAAATCCGTCACGAGCAGAATGGACTTTACCGTGGTGCGGTGGTTTGTGTACCTCAGTGACCCAGTGAGCTATACTGAAAGCTGTCTGCGTGGCACTCAGTCTCTCATACCATGTTGGTCAACGGCTAGAGGTCTGACGAACACAGTCTCACAGTCCTCCAGGTTGGGAGTTGGAACATGTGTGGCGACGTGTTCCGTGAAATTGGTAAGGTACTTGCATTTTCAGCCCAACACCGCTGCCTTGTGGTTAGGCTTTTGAGCCAAAGGCTTCGGTTGAGGGTCCTAATCGTCCTCCTGTCTGGGTGTGGGTGCTCTGACAGGATTCCAGCCCTTTTACAACCATGACATTTACAGCAAATAACATTCATTCCTGTTGCTTGTGTACGTCCGAGATCAGTCACAACCCCTAACACTTCGAAGTCTGTTTTCAAACCCCGAAGGCCTGTTCACCTAGCCGCTTTTAATGTTCGCACACTGCAGCAAGCAGTTCAGAAGGTGGATTTTCGTCGTACGCTGGATTACCTCTGTATTGATTTAGTCTGTCAGAAACAAGCATGCAGGACGCAAGTTCTGTGATCGAACTGACCGACCGCTCGTTCTCCTCCAGGTTCTGGCTGCGCACCTCGGGTAATGCAGAGATGGTTTAAGCTGGACATGCTGGGATGGGTATTGTAGTGAGCGACCGTGCGGAGGCGTTTTCGCTCGACTGGATACCCGTTGGTGGTCACATCTGCGCGGATCGTTTGGCAACATCTGCGAGAGAACATATAGGAAGCTAGGTCCATATCTTGTTTACTGTGTCTGCTTACGCACTAAATGACCGTAGCTCTGAATCTACCAAGGACAGTTTTTGCTGAAGCTCTAGGTGCCCTTCTACGGCAGGCTAAAAGCTCAGATATGGTTGTGGTTGCTGGTGATATGAACGGCCAGGTAGGTAGACCAAGCGCTGCTGAGGCTCCGATTAGGTGATTGTCTTGAATTGGACATGAGATGCACGGACAACGAAACCGCTTATTTCAGATGTGTACCGATCACAGACTGTTCCTTTGCAGCACAAATTTCATGAACAGTGGAAATCATCTGACAACGCGGTGCCCACCAACAAATTAGCACTGAACCCAAATGGACCATATCGCCATCAGTTGTCTGTGTCGATGGTCGATCACCACCCGCCGCTCTTTCCGGAATCCGGCTATACACTTTTACGCTCCTGCTTTTCATTGCGCTTTCCAGGTGTATGCAAAACGCGCACACCATGCTTAGCCACTGAGAATCTAGTGGACCCAGAAGCCAAACGAATCCATCAGAACCAGCTCCCCGAATGCCTGCCGGAAGGTACGATGCCTGATATATACGGCCACTGGGAAGAAGTATCGCAAGCACTACTCAAATCCGGAATGTCTTTTTGCGGTAGGGCCAAGTCAAAGTCAACCATGCATTGGATCTCTGATAGGACCGTGTCTTTGCTGGAAACCCCGCGACAGCTTCCACCAGGCCGCCACCACAAATCCAGCAGGCGCATCATCCGATGCTAGGTGAAACCTAGGGTCCCCGCAGACTGAGAAGCATGGTGGACCCGAAGGGTCGAAGAAATGGAAGATGAAGAATACTAAAAACGTGCGCAAACTGTTATACCTGATTTGCTCGACCCCTCCTCGGAAACCTGTTGTCAGCGAAATAATCAGGGACTAAAATAGCTCTCTGATATGCAGCAAAGCAGAACGTTTGGACCGCTGGGCACAGTACTTGGAACAGCATTCCAGCTGGCCATCTGCCACCTCCAATCAAGAAACCTTGCCTTCAACAAAAAGGTGAACCGTAAGTTGGAACCGCCCCAAGTCTTAGAAGTGTCCGAATGTGTTTCTCTACTCAAGTTTCATCGTGCTGCCGGTCCTGATGCTCTTCCACCTGGACTTTTCAAGGACGGCGGTGGATTCCCCAGCCAGTGCATGTCTAGCCTATTTGGGTCTATCTGGGAGGAGTAGACCATTCCAGACAACTGGGATGAATCGATGGTGGTGCCCATTTTCAAAAGGGGTACCCGCAGTGAATGGTATAACCAAAGAGGTATTAGCTTGACGCCTGTTTTGACAAGGCTCCTGTCGTCGCTTTACGTTGGTACGCGAACTTTTGACGCGTCAGAATCAAGCGGAATTTCAACGGGGTAGCGGCTACGTTGAATACACATTCACAGATCATCAGGTATTAAAACAGCGTCACATGTACCAACGCCACACAATCTTGGTTTTCCTTGCCTTCAAGGATGAGTTTGATTTTTTCGATCGATAAGTGTTGTAAACTACACTTGCTCCGCAGGATATGCCTCGGAAATTTGCAACCATAATCCGATCCCTATGTCTGCATACTTCCAGGCTGGTGAGGGTGTATAGTGAGCACTCCAAAAGCTTCTCTACAAAAAGTGGTGTCAGACAATGTTGTCCACTCTCTTTTCATTCTTGTTCAGCTTCGTCAGTGATGAAATAATGAGGCAAACACTGGACGGTCATCAAAACCCCGGCGTTCAAATTGTTGTTGGCATGCGCCTTGCATCTTCATGCTTCAGAATGAGACATCTGCTTACATATCTTTTACGATTCAGGGAGAATCCCTGGAGATTTTGGAAAACTTTACGTAGCTCGATAGTTGTATCGGCTTTGGAACTCCCTACCTCCCAGTGTTGTACATTCGCCGAGTTCAACCATTTTCAAGAACAATTTAGATGCATATCTTATGTCCAAGCCGAATCTGGAACTGTTTAACTCCATGTGATACTCAGCAAACATTGCGCATATTTTTGGGTCCCTTTGTATATATACGTTCACTCTCTGATCGTTGTAAAGTTAACTGCTTTTTAGACCATTAAACCTTGAATTACCTTGAATATCTTTTACGATTCAAGGAGAATCCCTGGAGATTGTGAAAAACTTTACGAAGCTCGGTAGTTTTATCAGCTCTGACGGAAGTGTGTCTGATGAAGTCGGTGCAGGAGTCTCAAAGGCTCGAATCACGTTCGCTAATTTGCGCCACTTGTGGAGTCAAAAAGGCATCTCACTCGATCTTAAGTGTTACTTGTGTCAGTTGACAGTATGGGCTGCGTTGTCGTACGGGTGCGAGACACATATCAATCCTCGAGTCCTGATGTATTCATGTTTTACGTCGCAATGGTCCATAATTCTTTTTACAATGAGCGAGTAGCAACCCATTTACGGTAAGAGTTCTTTCTGGCAGTCTTTTGCACCCATTGCGGGTGCGCAAATGATCATCTTGACGGGTCTTAAAAAGCTGTCGCTTACCTTCTTACGTAGAAAGTAAAACAAACTAAGGAAACATGACATCAAGTGTCCTCAGTTGTCCAACTTCGTGGCGCTAACGATTGGACAAGCATGGTGCTGGCCGGCACAGTGCAAAGCCAACGTCTGCACGTAACAAAGTAGTCATTATGTTGTCGGTTTGTTAGTGGTGTTTTGATCGTCTCTTCTGAGTCTAGTTTCTTGATTTTGACTGAAAGTGAGATCATACGTAAGTTACGATTGAACAAGTCATGGAAGGCTTGGCAAAGGGACACCAATGCGCAAGGCAAAGTAGATCACTGACATACTTACATACGAGTATCGGACACGGTGGCCTCAATTTCAAGGTAAACTGCGGTTACAGATGGGCGAAAGGGCTGCGGATCGAAGGTATGAAGGCAGAGTAAGCAGATGAATAAGGACTTCAGTACGGCTCAAGTTCTGATACCCGAAGATTTTTGATGCAAAAACATCCTTGGAGTATCAGCTGAAATTGTAATTATCCGGTCACAGCATAAATGTGCGCACATGCTAGCCGTAAGTTACGGTGAGTTCGAGCAAGTTGAAAAGAAGTCTATTAAGACGAGTCAAGATAAATGTACTAAGCGTAGAATATATTTCGGTAATGTATACTGTTTAGGTCACGTGTAAGCAAATTGTGTTACCCATGACCGCGGGCTGTGGGCGAAGATTGGTAAAAACCGTGATTCAGTAGAGAAAAATCAGCCACTCTTTGGGCCACCGCGAGGTGACGTCAGAAATCCGCGTTTACTGGACTAAAGCAAGAATGAACAAACCGTTGTCGACTACGCTGAATGAATCCACCAGTGAAAAGTTCGTTTCAGAGATTAAGGAGGGAAGTTCGGGGAGTGTGCGCAAATTTGCCCCAAACCACAGTGAGAAAAATTATGTTGAGTTTGCGCGAACCTCAGGCTGCCGGCGAAGCGATATGAAGGCCCTGCAGCGTAACGCTGCGGAATATGGCGATGAAATCAGCCGGCTGCCACAATCTTGTCAAACGCTTCGCAATCCAAATCGTTGATTGGCATTTGCAGAATGGAATCGATTTATCAAATATTACCATGTTGTCAAGATCACCACCACATAGATGAAAATATGCATGTCATACTAGTTTTACTATAAAGTCTGCATTGATTTGTTTAAGTGAGCGAATATTCAAGGTCGCCAGCCTCCTCCAATCGGAAATCTGCCCAAAGGTAAGCCGTCCCGACCTAGAGAAGAACTCGAACCGCCTAAATTAGGTGAAAGTAGCAGGTAGTTCCGTTTCGCTAAGGTTTTATGGAGATTGCTAGAGCCTACATTGTACTCGTGGATGCAAAATATGTGGAAGTTTCACCCACTTGACTAAATTTTGTCTTGTATTACTTGCCTGACTAGGCGGATGCTGGGTGCGGTGTTTTGGAAATCGAGGATGGCTGCTCCGAGTGATCGTTCCCATAAACGCATTCAGTACGCTTGGATTAATTTTATAAGGTTTGAGAAACAGAAGGTTTGTGGATGGTGATTTCCTATACACGCAGATCGAGTTCCCATGTACACCACTGAAGCATACAGGTCTTTTTACTGCCAGAAGTTTTCTCTGTTGCAAGTGATGAAACACACCAGGCTTCCAACATCCGAATCCGAGGAATTTACAAGATAGGTCGCGGATTGGGACTAACATGGTAAGCTGTTACCATAAAGCCCATCGATGCGTCCCAACTCGATTGACAGCAGCTTTCTCAGCTCACACCATACTTCGTTAAGAACTTGGGTGAGACGCACGATTAGCATGCGGCCTGAGGTTTCACAATGCATAATAACCTGGCTGGACGTAAGTTATATTGCTCGTAGTCGACCACTAAATGATCCTAGAGGGCTCACACGACTAAAATGCGGTTAATCAACTGGCCGCTTCACGCTTGTCGATGGTTCAACTGGGACGAGGTGGATGTCGAATTATATTGGTTGAGTTAATCAGTATATAAATCTTAGCGGGAAGCGCACGTTCCTTTTGGTTCGCCGGGTATGTAAGTTAGTTTATTGAAATATCAGGATGCACCAGATGACCGATAAAATCGAAGAAATACTCCAAAAAGTGAGCAATCCAGTACCGTCAATCTTGTATACCCATGCTCACATGATGTTATCTTCAATGGCTGATTCCTATTGTCTTGTTTTTGTCATCGGTGCCTACCGAGCGTTAGGCCCTCAAGAAATGATATTTGCCGGAAACGTATGGTGCTACATTAACTGAAGAACAGACTGGAACCTGTGACCCATACGGGCGTTAAGCGGAGTAATCATACTCTCTTTCCTTCAACTGGCTAATAGCGGTAGCTTGGACACAAGCGTGAGAAGTATCCATTGCGCTGGTAGGTTCTGATCAGAATGCCACATTTGGTGGTGAGGCAGCGACCTAAGGAAACATCTATGAAAAATATTTCCTACTGCTTTGAACCGACTGGTCTCTAAATATGGGGATCAGATGGATGCAGGGAGGCCATGTCGCCTGGTGGAAGGAGCTCGTGCATGTGGGCACCAGTACATGTGTCAACCGCCTAGGAGAACTTAGGTGTTTAACGTAGATTTACCTCAACTCGTTAGCTCCACCACAATATTAGTGCAGCCTTGGAAGTCACATCCAAGGCGCCTGAAAACGAGGGAGGACGCGCGTGTGGTCATTTGAAAGATTGCAGTAAGAAAGTAGCCGTCGCCCTCCAGGTTTTCTCTTCAACCATAATGGTACAAAGATCGCATCTTCCCACATGAGCCCTCAGCGTGCCGGCAGACTTCTGAATGGCGCATCCGTGTGTGTGAGTAGTGCGCCTGCTTATTCAGATGACCATTGGCGTTCTCCAGACGGTCGTTAGTCGCAATGCCCAAGTGGACGATTCTTGATCGGGCGTGCACAATATGCTCGCAGGTGATATGCAGGCATTGGGCCGTGAGGTATTTTTCTATTATGATAAACGGAAAACCCATTGTACGGCATTGTCCAGACGAGCCAGTGGAATATACGTCGGCCGTCCGAAGTTTCCGGGACCAAAGTATACGCAAGCTATTTGATAATTACGTGCTTCCTGAATGATTTGTGAATAAAGAATGGCTACAGCAGGATATCGCAGACAAGCAAGACTCTGGCCACCTAAATTTGTACCGTCATTCTGTTCGTGACAAATGTCTTCACTTAATATTTTTCACCCACTATTTCGTTGAACAGCCACACACTACGCACAGTAGCAACAGACCGCCTTCCAAAAGGTCATATATAATTGGATGCTCGGTACCGATGCCATAAGTGATCGGACATCTATATGGCTTGTATCTGAAGATCACACAACATATACTTCACAAATATATCGGAATCGCTCAGTAGCATGTGTTATACTTTCAGTGCACCTGGGATGCGTCAGAATCGCGATTTTTGCTTCCATCAGGTGAAGCTTATGTGGCGGTAGTAACCTTACTCTGACTACAGCACAAGCACCCACCCGGACTCGCGATGCTAAGACATGACTGGAGACATATCCGCCACAACAAAACGACTATCAGTCCGTCACTTACGGAGCTGGTCGAGACTTCTTACGGTAACTGTCTATGACCTGACTAGCAAGTACCCTACCGAGCTCGTTGGCCACAAACTGCCACACCTCACACGATGGCGTCCCACACTGCAGCAGGGCCCTGCAGGTTCTCAACTTCACTTAAAGCAGTTGTTGACTCGCCGGAAGTTGATGATACAATATTTCGAAACTTTATGATTGTGCTTAGTATGGTGAGACGTCCTACACGTTGTTCAAACGTCTCCTTAGACTAAGATAGGATGGACAACTGTTGCTTTGCTCACCGTTTGTTAGTAGCAAATGCGCCGAACCTATTAGGTTCTTCGGACCTCTCGACTTTTGCCTGGTCTCTCTGGCCGCCTGTCGCATTCGTACTGCCGCCACACGTAAGGCAAAGCCGTCTTGGTGCCTCCACTACCTGATGCACACACAGATGCCACGTAACTATCCCTCGTGTATAAGTTTGACACATCATATACCGCAAAATATGAAAACCAGAGAAATGCCAAGCTATCAACAAACATTATTGTTATTATTATTATTATTATTATTATTATTATTATTATATCTGGGGCCACATCCGAAGCCATATATTAAGCCAGGGGACTTCAACTGCAAAATCGAATGCGCTCGAAAAATTAAGAACAGAGCAAGAGTATGGTGGTTTTCGGTGTAAGCGTAAACATAGTTAAGTGAAAATTTTCTATGCTGAGTTCCTAATCCCCTACAGGAAGTTTTTGGCGAAAAGTATGACTGCGGGCCAAAGATCGCAGTCCTGCGATCACCAAACTAATCAGAACGGAATCGGATTGAACAGAATTTCAGACGTAGCGCATCAACTGGTGAGCCGTAGTCATTTAATTTCAGTCTGTCCACACGTATCTGCACTCATGCGAAATGAACCGATCCGAGAGTATGAACTTTCGGATTCCAGCTGGTGTACACGTCTGCTGAACCAATTAGGCCAAACAAGCCGTGCGCGCTTTTCGAATTTTGGCTCCGTTTGCCGATTATTCCCTTTTTCGAATGTTTTCCGACGTTACCTTCCATCATTTTAACTGCCTAAAGTGTTTAACACCCTCCAGCTTGGCAATATATGCCTCAACTCCTCCGAATGCGCGCGTTGCTTGTTGACCTAATGTTACTAAACCAACTAGTTTCGCGTATGCTCACGATAACTAGTTATCAGGATCGCTAACAGTCCTCCCATAGTGTAGTTTCAAGCCCTGTGATTGTAAAATTAAAGCATCGCTTGAGCTGCGTTCTGAGTACGGTTTTGGACCATATAAAGCGTCCCTGACTCTTCACTCCTACCGCAGGGGATGTTGCGGTGCAAGTGAAGAGTCAGGACAACACACACTTGTTGAAGTCTATCAAGTGGGTTTATTCTAGGCTCCACCTCTCCCGGACTGCATTTTTCATCATTCAACTTCCGTAATCATATCAATGATGAAGTTGAGAAAATGTGAAAGAAGACAACTCTGTCTGACAACCTGTCTGCGGTGAACTCAGAAGAGAGCTTCCCGTACGCCTCCGCACAGCAGCGGGAGTTGGCATGCAGCGCCCTAAGGAGGGTCAACTTTTGCTCTGTCAACACTGCTGCGGTGTCTGACGTTTCATGGACCTCTATGCATGGAGGCAGCTTTCAAGTCAAGGATAGTAACCATTATTGGGCACGGATTCACGGATTGATACACAGGATCAAGGCTTTTGCCCAAGTTTCCCGGGTCGGTTTTGTTCTTGTCGGTCAGTGGCTGTCGTTCACCTGAAAGTCACAAGTGATGAAAGGGTGTAGGACTGCTCTTTATAAACTCAGCGAGGGGCAGTATGCTTGCCAGCGCGAGGAGTCGCGTAAATAAATGTCTAATAGTGCTTTAAATTGGGTTCGAGAAGGAGCGTATACAACTGTCGGAGGAAGGTCATTCCACGCAGCTACTACCCGAAATGAAAAAAAGTTTTGTCTAATGAATGTGTGTTCCCTGAGCTTGAAAATTTTCTTACTGCGCCCCCGCGGGGTGTTTGCTGGGTCAACGGTAAAAAACCTGTTTGCCAAGCTTTGTTCAAACAGGGCGTAGGTAAGAATTAGGTCCCCTCGGAGGCGACGGTACTCCAGGGGAAAGAGATCAAGCATCGCGAGACGCGTTTCGTAGTCCACGGATTTGAGGCCGGCAACCATTCTAGTGGCGGCCCGCTGGACACGC